GGAACAAACACTAATATCAAATAATAATTAAAATTAAAATATATTTTATATATTTTTTAAATGCTAAAAGATTAAAAAACTTACAATTACAGTTACAAACGGTATTATTGAACAAAATCTAAAACTTTTTTATTTTTAAACAACAAAGTTAATGTTTTATTAAAATTAAAGAATATAAAAGGTACTGCAAATCAATTATACAATCACCTTACCCTCTTGATAACGACTTGGTAAGGTGCCTCTTGCTTTCTCCATGATTTTAAAATTCTACGGACTTCAATGTTGAATGTTACTGTCCTAAATACACAACATTGCCCATCCATGAGATCAAACTTTTATAGATGCTCAAGAATAATTGTTATATTTGGGTGGGAATAGAAAAACATTTTCACCTTGGTCAGCAAGGTATCTACCTCCAGCTTTTAGCCACGAAAGGAAGCTATTCTAGGATTTTATCTTTTTTATTTAATCTTTCATCTATGTGATTTGGCTTTGCTGCGACGGGCGAACGAATTGAAATTGCTTGTCTATGCTATAATTCTTCGTAAAAATGGTTCGCTTGTTTTTATACTTTTATACTTGATTGAATTACTGTTTGTACTTTTTTTAGGTTAAACTCTAATTTAATCCCTCAATTATTATACATATCCTAACTTGGTTTCTAAATTAAAAAATTCCTTTTTTGATCCATAAAGTTTTTAAATATAATTCCAAATTAATCCTTCAGATAAAAAACAACTTATGTATTCCGTTATTAACGTGACATGTGAACATCAAGTAAAGATTTTTTATTGTCAAGTAACAAACATGTCAATTGTACTTGGAGTTAAATTTGAAAACTTTAGAGATTAAATTAAAGATATTTCTAGTTTAAGAACCAACTCAAGAGTCCATACAATACTTAAGGGATCAAATTGTGGATTTAACCTTTTTGTGTTAAATTGCTCATCAGGAAACCACACCTCTTATTTTTCAGTTGAATCACCTTAAATTTATAGTTTTATCATCATTCTTGTTTGCTTGTATAACAAACTTTATACTTCTGCATTTATCTGTCAAAAAATTTTGTAAAATAATGACACCAACAAAAAAAAAAATGACGCTTGCTAAGTAATTTATTAAATTTTGAATAATTTCATTCAACCTAAATATATATCATTTGAACTAGAAAAAAAAAAGTTACAAGGAGTAATTTCAATAAATTCGAAAATTGCAAAAGACTAATATACCGTTTTGCTTCTTTTGGAGGGAATCAAGATTGACAAGTTAATCACCTTAAAATATTCTTATCCTCCATGCCAAACTATATGTAACCCTTAATTAAAAGCTTAATTGTATTTAATTACAGCAACAAAGGGTTCATTCTCATGTTCTGAGTGTTGTACCTGTCATTTGGTTCTTATTTTTCATCCTTGAATTATTTCACCAAATAGATGGGTGATGAAAAAATGATTAAAGTAGGAGTTGCTGGACGCTTTTCTTGTGAAGATGAATATTGGGATGAAAAGGGTAATTCTGAACTCTACGAGATATACATTTCTCATGGAGATTGTATTCAATCCATTCAATTTCAATATGTTGTGGAGGGAACGTTGGTGCTGTCTGAGGTGCATGGAATATGCAATGGTCCAAAATTCAATCTGGTATGGTCTCTCAGCCTTTATTTGTATTAAGATTGTTTCAAATTACACAATATATATATATATGTATTGCCAATGTTATTTGCTGTGTTTCAAAGCAGATAAGGTTCAATTATCCATCTGAGTTTCTCACTGGGATAAGTGGTGACTGCTTGGCTAACCAAAAACTCAGTTCTCTGACAATTACTACCAATAAACGAAGCTACGGGCCCTTTGGTCGTTTTACAAATGCTCACCACTTTGATCTTCAGTTTGGAAATTCAAGGCAGTTTGGGGGGTTTTATGGCTACTGTGACAAAACTCGCAACAATTACGTGGCAGCCCTTGGAGTCTACCTTAAGCTCTCCAATAAAATGGAGATCAATCCCGGCGACTGCATATTAATCGAAAGAGAACTCACGGAGGATGATTCATGCACATGTTTTGAAATAAATGATCCATGTACAGGAAGAAGAAGAAAGAATGTATGAAGCATGAAGTTCAAAATCTGTTATGTATCCATTTATGTTATTCAGACGCTAATCTGTTGTAATCAAATATTCATATATATTAATGAGCCTCACAGTTGATACATAAACTGTTCTTCTCGTCTAGCACAACGAATCTTACATAGATAAGCCATGATCATAAAGCAAAATCTCAGTTCTAGAACCTCAGATATATGGATATATATCTGTTCAGAGAAATACATGCAATTGACATTTACGACAGCTTGGTATGAGCAACCAGTGTCAATGACAGACATGAAGTTGTCTTTAACCTCTTGTCTGAGTCATTTTCACTCCCATGTAAGAAACGTTCTCTTGATTTTACCACGTTCACCCTGTCACAACAAGATCTGTGTTTTATCAACAAATTAAAAAAAAAAAAAAAAGATTCCATGTTTTTCCAGGATGCTTAGAAGGCAGGACCGCTAATATACCGATCGTGCCTACAGGTAGCTCAGCTGTGGGAAAACGGGGAGCTTGCTGGAGTGATGAGAGGATGAATCAAGCATGTGGGGACTATGTTTGGAAGAACCCATGTAAAGTTGGAATGCATGGCCTTCAAGTCTTTCTTAGACATCGGTATACTCTCCCTCACTCTCTCTCTATCTTGAATATGATTTGTAAATAGAAATATATTATAACAATAAAATATACTTATTTAATTTTACACATTATTAGTATTTTAAAAAAGAATTGATTTTCAATTTATAACAAAATAGGGAATCACATGGCACTTTTGTTAACAGCGAAGCTATTTTGTTATCAAAAATTGAAGTTTATAGACAATTTTGGTATTTTTTGAAGTTAAAGAATAATTTTGGTATAAATCTGAAAGTTGAGGGCCATGTTAGTATTTTAATCAAATTTTTAAATCCACTGATCATTAATACTATACAAATCACATTGATCCGCCATCTTCGTCTTTCATTTAGTTACAGTATATATTATTAGAAGTTATTATATAAAATTTTCTATCGATTTCAATTATGATTTTCATATTAACCTTAAAGTTCATCAAGCATTAAAAACAACAATATATATTTATTATGAAGTAACAATTTTAAAAATATAACAATTATTAAAATCAATATCAAATTTACTATATTGTAATATTAGTTGACTAAATTATTTTATAATAAAAATATTAAAACTTAAAATCATTATTATGAATATAAAAATATCAAATAATAAATAAAAATAATTTGAAAAGACAAAATTAAACTCAATTTTAAAAAATTAATATTTTTAATATTTTATTATTAATAAATTCTTTAATTCTTCGTTTATCTTAATTTTCATAAGTGTCTCAAAGGACTAACAAAAGCCCCTCAAAAATTTTTTTTGCTCATAATCTGAAATGAGTATTTATAGAATTTGAATAATTCTACCAGTAAAAGAAGTAAAAGACGTGAGAGTGAGACCAACACCAGAGGTGCCACACCTTCGCTAAGGGTCCGTTTGGTATAGTAGTTTTGGAGTAGTGGTTAGTAATTTTACTTAAACCGCTAAATATAAGTGTTTAGTAAATTTTTATATTTCAAAACTGCTACAAATAAAGTGTTTGGTAAAATTTTTATTTAGCGATTTGAGACTAGCGGATAACGGTTAGAATTCAAACCGTTAGCGGATTGAAAAAACTAATTTAT